CCTCCTTACACATGTGTTTGTTTAATTTACCTGCTGTACCTTGTTGCTAACCTTGGCTATAAACCAAGGGCAGGTAAAATACAGCCCACAGGCCAGATTCAGCCCACCAGACCATTCTTTCCAGCCTGTGGGGTCACTAAAAAATTTAGAAAATTTAATATTTATCTGCTCCTAGATGCCTGTCAAAGATGACAGAAGCTGGGGGCAATAAGATCCAGGGAGCAACAAGGCTGGTCCAGCCCCATCCCACCTCCCATCCCTTCCCACCCCTGCCCCCACAACTGGAGCCTCTGCCTGCCCTGGCTTTAACTGAATCTCTGCATGCCTGCTCCAGCACCACATGGCATCACTGGACCGTGGGAGCATGGGGCTGTTCTAGTACCGTGGGGCCAGGAGCGGGAGGGGGTGGGTGTGTGTATGTGTGTGCAGTGAGGAAGGGAGAAAGACAGAGAAAGCAATGAGAGAGACAGTGTGTGTCTGTGTAGTGAGGGAGGCAGAGTGTGTGTGTGTTCATAGGGCAAGTCCCACAAGCACACCCCACCATACGCACAGCCCCTCACACACCCCAGCCACCCTCCCCCCACAAACCCATTTCCACCCACATCCCACACACCTACACCCTCCCCCACACCCCTCATACCCACACATCCACAGCCCTCCACAAACTTTTACCCACCCCATGCCCTCCACCCCCACACAGTATACAAGAGTAAGACTTCATTTTAAGCTATTGTGCAATCACCTCTGTGTACACTACAGAAACGCATGTAAATCAGGACAAAAATGTATTTTTAAATCAAATTAATAAATGTTGTAGATGTTTGATTTTTAGAACATAATTTTGTATTTTTCTGGTTCTGAGATGGCAAAACCCCTTGCTGAAAGGAGTATTCCTGGGGGGCAAGGGGAGGGACTTCTGGTGGCAAATGTTGGGGGTTAGGGGGCAGGACTTCTGGTCCTAAGATGGCAACCAGGGGGTGGGGCACCTGTCAGGGGGCAGGGCTACCTGTGTGGCCCTGGACAGCTTGCCAAAACTCAGTAAGCGGCCTTCCACCTGAAATAATTGCCTACCCCTGCTATAAATTCTTGGGAGCAGAGATCATCTCTTTTACTGTATGTTGATAACAGTGCTTACTAGAGTGTCATTGTGATTTCTGATAGGAACCCATAATATAAACCACAAGCATTATGTTTGCAAACTCTAGTGCTCAGAAATCAGACAATTCCAGAATGAAGGTTGTCTTTGCAACTTTACTTCAGTCTCTTTATAGGGCTTAGCAAATGTAATTGATGTTTGCTCTTATTTTAAGAGCCCTTTTTAAAGCTAAACTAGGACTAGAACTCATAGTGTATGAGTATAGTTTAATCTTTTTGGCCACAGAAGGACACACATGAATCACAGCCCACACTGCTACTTCTTCCACTACTGGAGTAATTGGTTGTAAAAGTAGGCTGTTATCCTCTGTAAAAACCAGGTGCCAGCAACTTATGGCTTGTGGACTAGATCCAGCCTGTGGGACCTTTATATCCAACCCATGGATGTGGGGCTTCAGCAGCATTTGGCAGCAAGAAGGAGAGGAAACACCTTTTGGAGGCTCTCTCCCCACGTTTTGCAGGCAGTTTGCTTATGCCACCAAGCGGACATAGGCAGATTAATGCATGAGCCAGCCGGGCCCAGGCCCAGGGGCTCCTGCCTTGGTGCAGACGAAACCAGCAGTGGGGCCATGCTAGGCGTGCAAGACACAGTGGGTTGTGGCTGCTGGATGCCTTTTGTCAGGAGTCGCTGCAGCTGGACTGAAGCTTGGTCCATGCTGCAGGTGCCTGCCAGGCAGCGGCTCTGCACCCGACGTTGGCTCCAGTGTGGACCTGTGGCCAGGGGTGGCTGTGGCTTCTGTCCAGAGCCTGGGGGACAGCATGTCCTGCTCCAGCCACTGCACTCGCTGCACTGGCTGGGGACAGAGCCCATGGCTGTGGGGAAAGGCATGGGTCAAGGGGACCCAGGCCATCGAAGTGGGGTGGGGGCCCAGGCCCAGAGCCCTAGTGAATCTTAATCTGCCCCTGCAAGAAGAGACAAATGGCAACAGCAACTGGATCCTAGTGCCCACTTACCTCTGACCTGAGGTGGGTCAGTCCAGCCTGCAGGAAGAAAAAGTTGCCTACTACAAACCATTCATGTAATGGTATCACAATACACATTTGGTTGGCGGAGTGGGGGTGTCACTACTGTCATGGGACAATGACTTGTGGCTACAAATATGAGTGCCCATGTATTCTTTAGAATGAGTGACACCCTGCATAGGAACTAAAAATACGGTAACCCGACTCTTTCTTTTAAAAGTAACTGTAAACTCTAAACTGTTTTTCTCCTATGTCCCAGGGATGGTGATCTGAAAAGGCCTGTCACTGAACTGTTTAAGGAAGACCAGCAGAAGAAACACAGTAAGATGAGAATGGGAAGTGGATCAGGTATATCTGCTTAATGTCCAGCTCTTCTGAACACAGTCCCTTGGGGCTTGGCCCTGAACAAACTCTGAAATGAGCTGCACAGCATGCCATCTGCTTTGTTGCCTTCCCCTTAGCACCCGTTGGGTAACAAACATAATTGTATTTTTAGTATACATAACTTTTCTCCTACAAACTGGAAAATTCAGGAGGAAGAATAAAAAGGTGGAAACTAGAATCACAACTGTGGACACCTGATAAATATTATAAGAGTGCTAACTGGAAAAGAGACCTAGAAAAAAGGAAAACTCCATAACCTCCTCTAGAACAGGGCATAGTTACTACAGGCAACCCCTGCTTAATGCTGTTTTGCTTAGCACTATTTTGCTATAACACTCATTTGAAATTGATACCCAGTTTCACTTGGTGTTCAGCGAGTTTCATTATAATGCTCGCAGTCGCCATCTTGGGTCATTAAAAACAATTACAGTCGCCTTCTTGGGTTGTCAAATACTTTTGGTTTCGTTTCACACTCGTTTCGCTTAATGCTTGGTTTTTCAGGAACCAATTAAGAGCACTAAGCAGGGGTTGCCTGCAGTTGCTTTCAATGGAATGGTATGATGTGACCTTCTATGTAACATAACCTGCAGGCTGTTTCCAAACTCAGTGGCCACAAGAGGATGCTGTTGGGCCTGTGATTGTACTCAGACTAGTGCATTCTTCTGAAGGGAGTGTGGGTTGGTGTCATACAACTCAGTAATTGGCTTGCTCTGTGCTGATTATATTTTCTTTGGACTCTTGGGCCTTAGCTGGAACCTAGCATTGGCAATTCTCAGAGATGTAAAGGTGCTATCCTCAGCTGTGGGCTACATTGCTGCGATGCAAAAAACTGCAGGTCCATGTTTTGGCAGTAAAATTACAATCTTTCTGTATAATACCCTGTGACCAATAGGAAGCTCAGAGACAAGGCATCCTGGTCCCTGTACCTCTATGGATTACAGCTAATATTTCTGTGGCCTTTGCAGGTCTTATTATGAGCCAGCATCACCAACAGCAACTGCAAGGATTGCTGTTGTTTCCCCCTAAGATAACCGAGAGGCTGTGCAAGGTCTAACTCCATCCATTCAAATTTGAAAATCTCAATCTTAAGGGAGATATCTAGTTTGTAGGGGTAGGGTTATCTTCTTGCTATGCCTAATCAACAGTAAGGTGCAGTCCCTGAATTACCCCTATAGCAAGTAAAGTGGGGAAAGAAGGACGGCTTACTTGGATTTAGTTCTCCATAGATATATGTTGCAAACCTGGTATGTTCTTGAAAGTAACTTGTTGTTTGTCATTGCAATGACCAAATGTTACATTGTCCCTGAACACCTTGGTTCTTTTACACCTTTATACTCTGATCCCATTCTGGACCTGGAACCACTTCTGAAAAAAAGGCTATGGTAGAGGGTGATTTTTTTTTTCCAGCTTCCAAACTAGCTTTATGCCCTCAAATGTCTCCTTGGGAGAGGATGAGATTCACTGGTAGTGCCAAGTAAAGAAAATCACCCAGAACTTAGAAAGAGGAGGCTACAGGAGGAAGTGGACAACACTTCACATGGTACCTAGGAGCATAAGTATAATGTGTAAGGTTACCATACGTCCAGGTTTTTCCATACATGTCCTCTTCTTTTTGAATCCTCTGATCTCTGTCTGGGCGGGTCTTTTAAATCAGACCAAATGGCTGAGATTTTGCTTTGCTCCACTGGTGGGAGCAGGGGGAGGGTGGTTGGAGGCAGCAGGGAGCACAGACATACCTGCCTGCAGCAGCAGAGGCATGCGCAGACTTGTGTGATCCTCTCTGCTGCCTCTAATCACAGATTCACAGAAGTTTAGGGCTGGAATGGATCTCGCCCTCCCCCTACCCTCACCAGCAGAGAAAAGCAAAATCCTGGACATTTGATCAGGGCAGGTGGGGGCTGGGGCTGTGACAGGGTTGGAGGGTTGTCTGCCCCTCCAGCAGGGGGAAAGGGCTGGGGGGTGGGGCTTT